TATAACCATATACTGAGGATGAGTAGTTTATTCATCTTATTTGAAAAATAATATTTCCAAATTATCCCACAAATTTCCTAATTAATTATTTACAGTAAATTCCAGCAGACCACTTGTGGATGTAAGGTTTTATTTTAAGTTGGTGTGGCCGTTAAAATACATTTGGGTGCCTGGTCTCGTGCTTCACAGCCTCGACTGTTGTTGGGAAAATTGCAATGCACATGCGTTCTGAGCAGGATTTAACACAAATGCAAATTCGGGTCAAATCAGCATGAACACAGTTTCAGCTGCATCTGTTCTCTCATCACAATGTAAGCGCATTCATTCATGGCAGGAAAAGACTAAACACACCAAACTGCAAATAAATAAATAAATACAATTTAAGTAATAAATACACTTGCGCCCAAGGAAAACTGCATAAAGACTGTGTTTGAAGCTACGGTGGCTTTGCTCTGGCAGTAAAATAGAGCCCACTGTGTCCTACAGTTAAACATATCCTGTAGCTCACAAGCAGGAACAGAGACATGGTGCTAGCTTGCTTCCCCTCAGGGAGACTGACAGTTTCAGGCAACACAATTACCTGCATTGCAGGTACACACTTACATAATGTTTCCCTTATCAGAAAAAGCAATAGAGCAGGACACTCAGATGTTTTTATTGGTTCATTCTAGGGAAAGTTTATCAATTAGATGAGCTTATGAAAGAAAAGCTTATTAGGAGGCTTTGATGAAGCATTTTAAAAACTTTCCTGGCTGTTTGAAACAGCTCTGCTCATATCAGCAAATTACAGACAAGCTGTTGCTGTATTGCAGTTTTGTTGCCGGCCTCCACACCCCCACATTTGTCATACTGTCTATAACTTTATTTAAAGAAAATTATGGTATAGGTGTCCTTATATTTATTGATAATAGTAATTTGTCTGAGAAATGTGCCATTAAATGACATTTCTGTGATGTCCTGCAGTATCAGCTGCACCTCCTGCAACTTTACAGCAGAAAATCTTTCCTCATGCACTTTCTGTAGAAAGCCATTACTGTTTTCATCCTTCAGCTCCAATTCCCCCGAACCCCTCCCACACACACAGACACTACACCACCCACCCTATTGATAGCATATTATAGCTGTGCACCAACACCGCAGGAGTCAGCAGGGCAGAGGAACGCAGTGAAAAGTCTGCAAAACCAAAATTCCTTCAGGCTTTATTTGCAGATTATTGCTTAAACCTACAATTAAAGAGTAATCCAAATATTGTACGATATCTAAACATCTTGTCTGAATAACACTTATACTCGAGAAGAGATTCTCTATGTTTTGCTGTTTATACTGTGCACAGGACTTGCTTTAATGGAAACTGATGGAGATCATATAACTGAAGCTCTGACCATGTTGTCTTTGGCACACTACAGTAGATTAAATGCAGTTATCACAATCATACCTTTACTAGTGTCTGTTTTTTATAAGGTCAGTACTGCTGCAAGGAAAATGTGACCTTTTTAAAGAAATGGCAATGTAAGGAAAGAGTTAAAGCACGTTTCCAAA